TGTGTGTGTGTGTGTGTGTTAGCATTTCTCTCTCTTTCTCTTTCACACACACAACAACAGCAACAACAACTTGTCCCACCCCCTTTCCTCCGGCGTCTTAGACAGGCATCATACAGACCGACAGGAAAACAGACTGTAGAAAAGCGAACAGACAAAGACGCACATTAACAAAGTATGTGCATATATGTGTGAACGACTAATTGAGAAGAAAATACACCTAACCAGGAACAAGATGATGCTCAAGTAAGTGTCAGGGGGAGAAAAGGCCATTTGGACTTGGAGAGTTGGGAGAACCAAACCTTTTCGGGCGAACCTATTTGCTCAGTCATCGCTTGGGTCACCAAAGGCTGTCACGCAAATAAGAAAAGCAAATGCAGGCTTGTGAGAAGAGAAAGCAGAGGGGCCTGGCGGGGAAACGTGTGCACGCGCACTTCATTACCCCCGGAACATTAAGAGACTTGTCGACAGGAGAACATTTTGCTCGATTGAAAAAGAAAATAAAGGTTCACATTTGGAAAAGGAAACATTGCGTGGAGAAAATGGAGATCACAGAAAGAGTTTGAACTTGAATCATGGTGCGAGTGCTCAAAATATCCCAGCTCTCGAAATCTGAGCTGTAGCAGTAAATGTCTCACGCCCCCAACTACACAGATTGGATATATTTTTGGGGGTCTCGTGGCCAAGAGGTTCCCGAGTTCGCCTCTCATTCAAAGGCCCCGGGTTCGAATCCAGGTAGCGACGGAAACATTTTCTTCTCTAAAATTCTCTCCTTTCACATTCTTTCCGGCTGTAGCAATTATTCATTCGTCTACTTTCGTCTCCACTTTCTGCCCCCAACCCCTCACCTCCTTTGCCCCCTCCTCTGGGCTCCCGACTCTTTCTGCAGCCTTTCTACTGCTACTTCTTACTGCTGTCTTTCAGCCACACCCCTTATCTTCTGGTAACGAAGATCTACACCTCGCCTTCTCGGATAAGGGCGAAAAATATCGGAGGCCCCGTGTGCAAGTTGCGCACGTTAAAGATCCCTTGGTGGTCTAAAATCGATAAGAGTAGGCTTCGGCAGCCACCCGGGCAAAATTCAAAATTTCCCACCAACTGAAAAATTTTCAGGTGTCCCGCGCGTTAATATGACCGTATGCAGTTATTTGCGAGCGCCGTAAAACACATACAAAAAAAAAATGATATATTTTTTAAGCGGGCTACCCTCGTCAGTTCTTCTGCTAGAATGTTGTATTACACATAGTCCGTAACATTACTTAAGTGGTGCGATCCACGAATGCTACCTTCATCTTGAAAAGACTAAGGCGAAGTAGGAGAAGAGTCTGAAAAAACGTTAAAAAGAACCCAAGTTCTAGAATGCTCCACATGGGATTCGAACCTGAGTCATTAGCACCATACTTCACCATTACACCAACATAACAAAGGTGGGAAACATTTGCTCTAATACTCTGAAACGAAGAATATTATGCACATAAGCCAGCGGTTCACAACCAACGAAAAGATGGTCAGAGAATACTGTTTCATAGTCTGTTTTGTTAACGAGACGAGAACCACATCGACACAATAATGGTCATTTAGTGCTGGGGAAACTGTAAGACGGACAGACAGACAGAGAGACAGAGGGTAAGTAAAGAAGCGAGACCTACCAGTGGCGCCCTCCAACCACTCGCATGTTTCTTTCAGTAGAGATCACATCTACACAATAACGGCCACTTAGTTCTTGGGAAATAATGACACAAACACACACACACACACATGCACCCACAAATAATTAATATATATA